TTCTTTTTTCCCCCCTTTTTTTTTTCTTCTCTTTTTTTCTCCTTTTTTCTTCTCCTTTTCCCCTTCCTCTTTTTTCCCCTACCCCTTTTTTTCTTCTGTTCTTTCTTCTCCTTTTTTCTTTTCTTTTCTTTCAACTTTTCTTCTTTCCTCTTTTTCCTCTTTCAATTTTTCTTGTTTCTCTCTTCTTTTTTCACTTTTCTTTCAATTTTTCTTCTTTCCTCTCTGCTGTTTCACTTTTCTTTCAATTTTTGCTTCCTCTGCTCTTTTTTACCTCTTTTCTCTCATTTTTTGTTTCCTCTCCTCTTTTTCCTCTTTTCTTTCAATTTTTCTTTATTCTTCTTTCTTTTTTTTTTTTTTTTTCCCTTGCTTTTCACCACTTCCCCTCTCAAAGAGGGACAAGATCCAGCCCCTTGGGAGCTCCTGGGGCTGCACCCAGAGCTGAGCTTCCAGCACAGGGCAAGAGCCCTCGGCTGGGGCTCCCCAGCCCCAGGCAGGGTGGTGGGACCAGCAGGCAGCGCCGCCTGCCCAGGTGACCACGAACCGGTTGCGCCACCCCGACAGCCACCGGTTCCCCCTCTTTGGCTGGGGCTGGTGACGGCTCTACCTCACAATAAAGTCTCCTGATACCACGCTGGGCCAAGCCCTGGTCCAGACGAGTTGCGCCACTGCTGCTGCTTGCCCATCTGATCGGCCGCGTGGGCTCCTCACCAAATCCCTCGGGATCCCCAGCTCCGGCGTGCACCTCCCCGGCGGTCACAGTTCTCAGTGTGAGTGCTTGCTTTGTACCCCCAAATCTGGGGGGGTCACTCTGCCTGCTTCCGGGTAGGGGGTCAGGGACTTGGGGTGGGAGATGCCGTGGTGGAGCCCTCATGGGGGTGGTTCACGTCCCATGGTGTGTGGGATACTGGTCTTTGTTGCTCCCCGCTTTGTTCCCATCACATCCTGTGGCCACGACCATCCCATTGTCGAGTTGCTGTGTCCTGGCCACCCCCAACCTCTTCCAGCTGGAAACCTTTCGCCACGCCATCCCAAAAAAGAGGGGGAAACCTGGAACTAAGCCGGGTGCCCTGCAGAGAGGGGTGGGCTGCGTCAAGTAAGGGCTTGGGGGGCTGCACACTTGCCACACGCTCA